TTTAACTACAGCACAAATAGAATCAAACAGTATTTGTATGATACAAATGTGTGAGTTTTTAGAAATTAAAAAAAAGTGTAATGATTTTAAATGTATTGACAAATATTTTGTGTGATTTCACAGTACCTGCATCGATTAACTTTTATACCTGATTTAGAATGTAATGCAACACTGACACAGTAGAGTAGTGTTGTTTTTTTAACGATTTTGCATATATTTGCATACATTTAATTTCTTTCACAGTCGCTTCGGCCCGCGAAGCCCCTTGAAACATTTAATATGGCCCTCGTCTCATAAAGTTTGAAGACCCCTGACATAGAACAAAAAGAGAAAGGAAGCCATGAAGCTGGTTCAAGACAGAAATTGGTGGAAAGACATCACTCGACCCTCATCAGAGCTGTTGAGCTGACAGATGGGAATCAAAGAAGAAGAAAGGAGATACATTTTGTTATTGCACCATTGGTGTATAAGACATTGTATAACAGATAAAACATGCCAAATAACCAGCACCTGCCTGGGAGACCTTAGGGCTGCTCTATGAGAGCTTGTTGAAAAAGGATAAAATGTGTTTAAAGAAATGTAGAAAAAAATGAAAAAAAATATAAAACAGTTCAAATTTTTCCTATGTTTTAATAAAACACAAACAAAAACATTCTCTCTGCTGAAACACAGATAACAGCAGGGGTTTTGTGCAGGTTTGGGGTCTCTCTCCAGGATTTTGTGCTGTGGAGAAGTGTTTTAATGGCAATGCTTTTACCTGAAAAGGGAATCACTGATAGGAGTATGGCACAGAACAAGCAGCTGGAGAGCTGTCCCCGTAGCTCCATGCCTCTGGTAGCTCAGTTGGGAAGAGTCACAGGGGCTGATCTGAAATGAGAGCAGCAATCAAAATAGACACAGATGCTCAGAAATACAAGACACCTGATTTCTCGTTATTCCCCCCTTGAAATACACCAGGCTGTTCCTTTCCTTCCTTTTGTGTCACTGCACGTTGCAGGGAAAGCTGAACAATATGGGACGGTGTCACTATATGCAGCCAGTGTGGGAGTGAGGGGAGGGGGCAGATCACATGAGAACCTTTGCTCTGGTGGAAGGGACACTCACTGTCATAGTCCTAGTGCTCGGGGAGGACAAGGCCATGTGATTCCAGCACCACTGCTGTCCAAGCATGGCACAGCGCCTGCCCTTCTCCAGGCCTGCTGGAGGCACTGGCTCTCCCTGAGGCACAATGGGCCAGAGACGCAGGGCATGTCTAGGCTGCAGACATTGCTTGTGAGCTCTTTAATCTCGCTAGCTCAAGTCCTGGAACAGTGAAGCTGCAGCAGCACAAGCTTCAGTCCAGGCTGTACAAACCAACCAGCCCAGAACCCAGGATAATTACTCCCAGGGCTAGCCTCTGCTGCTGCTGCTTCAGCACTCCAGGACCTGAGCTAGTGAGATTAAAGCTAGCTCAGGCATGTCCCCTCGAGCTGTAGTCAGACCCAGTGACTGCAGCATAGACATATGCTTAGCTGCCCCTGTTCCAACTGGACGTAATTTGGTGATGTGGCAGTTGGGAGAACAAAGGAGTCGATTGCAACTCCCTGATTCTGAGACCAGTTCTATGCCAGCTCTGGGGCTGCTCCTAGCTATGGCCCCAAAGGGCGATTACATCTGATCAGTTTAACTGGAGTTCTGTGATGCTCAAGACATGCCAGTTCATACTCCTGTGCCAGACACCGCAGGAGCTGGGGTGGCACGCAGGCCAACACTTCACCAAGTTCTAAGCCAGAGGATTTACTTCTCTACAGAGAGAAAATTCTCAGCTAGGGATATCCAGCAGTTTTCCTGCCCCTTTGCACTCATCAGAGTCTCCAGGATTTCTGTTACCATGGGCTGTGCCTTAGGGTATGTCTACACTGCAATAAAAAACCCGCAACATGGCGATGGCTGGGGTTGGGTTGTGGGGCTGTAGATTTCAGTGTAGACATTTGGGATCAGGCTGGAGCCCAGGCTCTGAAACCCCACAAAGGGGGTGGTTTTCAGACCCCCCCAGGCTCCAACCTGAGTCTGAATGTCTACACTGCAAATTTTAGCCCAGCGATCCCAAGTTAGTTGATCCAGGTTCTGAGACTTGGTGCTGCAGGTTTTTTATTGTAATGTAGACGTACTCTTAAAGACACAAGTCACTAAAAAAAATCTACATGAGTCATCAGCACAAAAAGGGTTTCTCTACATGGGGCTGTGTTTGGCTGTCTGTTGAGGATCGGACTGCTGAGCTCAGCCTTCTTTTTACATGGACACAGTAGGCTTGACTCATGCGGGTTGCTGCCCTAAGCTACGAACACTCCTATTGAACTCAATGGCTCAGAGTTTCTAAACTGACTGTTGATTTTGGGTGTCCAGCTTGAGAGACCTTAAAACAGCCTGACATTCAGAGTGGGGCTCCTCAGCTCTTTCTGAAATGCAGGACCTTCAAGGTCTCTCAGATTGGGCACCCAACATGACTAGTCCATTTTGAAGCTCTTGGCCAGGGAGACCACTGGTAGAGTGAGGCGTTACTTTACAGGAGTGACAGCAGCAGAGTGATGAGTAATCTGCTCCCAGAGATTATCTCTGCAGACTCCTGATGGTATTTTTCACCAACAAAACTTTCATGCTAAACTCACCATTCATGTACCTGCCCTCTGGGTGGTCATTAAGGCTCTGAACTTTTTTTAGGCCTTTCTGCTTCTTCCCAAATGGAATGCACATAACAGACCTACTGGATCTAATTCAACACAGATATTTAATGGTGTTACTCCAGGGAAGATTTTGACTCATTACATCGTCATTCACCCCCATCGTCTTCCTGTCTGTCATCTCTTTCAGCCGTTCAAGGACTTTGATATCCCCAGCGTGTTTATTGCTGCACCTCCAGCAATCTCCTCAGCACCAGTCTCAATGTGTCTCTGTTATTTTATTACCAGCTCTGACATGCCCATTTGTTGCGTTAAGCACACAGTACAGAAGGTGGCACATACTGATACCATCAAACATTCCTCTGTCGCCTGACTCTGAGGTGTATGAATGTTCTCCTAGAGCAGACAACCAGCAAACTCTACAGGGTTATCTAGTGACACTAAAGAGGGTGCTGTCAGGATTGCCAGGTGTAGCCAAAACCTACTTCTTTCTCTTGTATCTC